GCGCCAATTCGCCGAAATCTGTCACGTCACCAAGCCTCATGACTTGTAGGCTCTTGTTGATGGATAAAGCCTCTATCAAAACCCGTAGGCTGCGCGTAGACAAGGCTATGTTATCTCTTAGATTAATTTCGATTAAAGACCGATTATGCGCAACGGCCTCAGCCAGATAGGATGCCGTATCGTCGTTTAGGTTGGTGAAATTGAGTTCGAGCGTCTCGATCATGCAATTTGTCTTCATCAACAATCGCGCCAATTCAACGACGGCCTCGTTTTGGAAGGAAGCGCCAATCAACTTTAGGCGTCTGATAGACGTCATTGCGCGCAGAAAATCTGCCTCTATTATACCTCCGGTAAAGTATAAGCTTTTGAGGGCGCAGCCCGGCCTCTCTAGCATCGCTTGCACGGACCTCAGATCTACAAAATCACTTTCGTAAGATAACTCCTCCAGTCCGATTTGAAACTCTGATATCCACCTCAACAGGTGATTTGTGAATGCCTCAGACATGGTGGTGATATTTATATTTACGATACGTAGATTACGGAGGTGTTCAATGGCCCGATGCAGATCCATCATGCCCACGGTTACTTGCGCCATGTCAGACATGTCGGTTTCCGTGCAAGTTTCATCTACAACCAATTTACTAATAGACGAATTTTGGCGTATACCGCACAAAATCAAATCTTTAAACATTACGGTACTTTTGCCTACCAATTTCGAAGCATTTCGTCGAATTACGCACGAATGTTGCCTGAAGAGAAGGTACATTATCATGGCCGCCTCCGATTCCTTGGTGTAGTTCATGTCGTCCTCCACGCCTTCGCCCGTGTTCACACATTCTACCGCAAGGCTTTCTGCTGAAATCTCGACAATTTCAAGTCCCACGACAAAAAGTATAGCATTAATTGCTGTTAAGACGTGATGCATTAGGAGTAGCCCGCACGTAGACCCGGAACTACATCCCCTCTCCAGTACAGGGAATGCGGTCTTCACGGTCTCGTACATTGTCCACCTGCTGACAGTCTGGAAAAAAACAAAAACCTGTCTATATAATAATTGAATCGAAATACAAAGAAGAAAAGAAATACCTGATGATCGAGCTCCATAGCTCTACTGGAAGTGGTGGATCCGAAGGATAGCGAGGAACTCCTGATCGTTGTCTAATTGACAGCGTGAGTAGTAGTCGTGTCGCGATGTGGGTAGTCGTGTGTCGTGTCGAGTGGCGATCGCTTAAATATCCGATACCTCCTTTATTTGCAATATCTCTATTCCGACGTCATTGATAAATAAAGTGTTCCGAGAAAATCCACTCGAAATAGCGTCCTTCGATGCATAAACTCCTCTATACTGATAACATCTGGCACGTCGCTTAAAAAAGTGGCCGCCGGCAGTAGGAGAGGAGGAGCGGAGGAACTTTGCTAGCGCCACACAAGAGCGAGTGGACAAACGAAGAAACAATTGTTTTTTCTTTTTTTTTTTGGAATCGCGGAGAGGACGTCAACCCTTTCCCTTCGCCGTCCTCCTGCGATCTGGCACGTCGCTTAAAACAGTGGCCGCCAGAAGGAAGTACGAAAGGGCAAACACGAGCGCAGCGCAATTTTTTGCTTCACACTAAATCTTATATCGACCCTAGTACATGTTAATGTCAACGCTATGGGAACAGGTGCATCCGTCTACCTTTTCCGTAAAGCAGCCTTCTGGAGGCGTTAGCGCGAAACACATGTACGACGAAACTGTCCGATCCGACGTCCGACCGCGCAATACGACGGTCGGAGGCGAGGGTTTTCGTAGCATCGGAGAGCGTTGAAAACCCTCGCCTCCGACCGTCGTATTGCGCGGTCGGACGTCGGATCGGACGGTTTCGTCGTACATGTGTTTCCCGCTTTAGCTAAGGCTGGCGTGAAACTTTCGCTTTAAAAAGTAAAAATGCATAAAGTTTGTTTCCAACGCGTAACAATGGGCGCGGAAGAACGTCTTTCGAAAGAGCAAAAACTTGCGCAGCGCAATTTTTTGCTTCACACTAAGTTTTATATCGACCCTAGTACATGTTAATGTCAACGCTATGGGAACAGGTGCGGACAAACGCAGAAACAATTGTTTTTTTTTTTTTTTTTTGGAATCGCGGAGAGGACTCGCCGTCTCTGCGCCGCATCTACCCTATTGTTTGCCGCTTCGCGCGCTTCTCCTCTCCTTTTTTTTTTCTGCGACCGCGCTCGTAAGAATGGGCGCGGAAGGACGTCTTTCGAAAGAGGAAACACTTGCGCAGCGCAATTTTTTGCTTCACACTAAGTCTTATATCGACCCTAGTACATGTTAATGCAAACGCTCTGGGAACAGGTGCGGACAAACGGAGAAACAATTGTTTTTTTTTTTTTTTTTTTTTGGAATCGCGGAGAGGATTCGCCGTCTCTGCGCCGCATCTACCCTATTGTTTGCCGCTTCGCGCGCTTCTCCTCTCCTTTCTTTTTCTGCGACCGCGCTCCATATGGCTCTGCCGTCGATGTCCCAGGCTTTTTTTCTCCGTATAGAGGAGGCTATGTTCAAGGTCTTCCACATACTCGATAAGACAGTTTTAGTAGATACTGCCCACGACACTGATAACGATACCCGATAATCCGCCTCCCTTGCGTATGCAAAATATCAATATCGGGACTATCGGAACAATCCACGAAAAAACTCTATTGTTGCGCGTGACATGGTGGCCGATTATGTGGCGTCGTTTTAGTGTTCGCATATCACTACTTCCAAGGCCGCGTTCTGCTTCGAGTCGGCCATGGTGGTGAAGCCGAGTTAAACCTCGGCTTCATAGCGATCTCGAAGCGCGTAATACCGACGAAAAAAAAAATCACCACATGTGCAACCAGAAACGTCATTTTTATTCCTTTCTCTTAAATCATCACGTCACTGAGTCGCAGGTATGACGCCACGTGGTCCCAACACTTGTAATTCAGGAATGGTCGAGCGTCAAACACCATGTCGTTGCTAACACGGATCAGGCGAAAGAAGTGATCCCTCACATATCGGCGATACCGGATTAGGGACTCGGAAAGCGGTAGCGGACAAATGTCTCTCATGGTGGCGTAGTGATGAGCAAACCCCGTGGTGTAGAGAAGCGGTTCCAGTTCCTTCACGTTAGCTGCTTCCACCATCACGGTGTGGTTTGGACGCATCAAGAGTCCCATAGCCCTGTTCATTCGGTACGCGTTGCGGCGTAGCGTCTCCGCCACTTCGAAACAGCACTGATCGTCTATCGAATCCAACGTCAGTACGTTGGGGCCAATTTTTTGGGCCATCTTTCGATAGCTTTTGCCTGTGAGACCTAACTTAATTCCTATGTGCACGAGGGTACGATTTTTAGACAACATTCGAAATAATTGTCGCTTTGACGCATCGGTGATCAGGCCATAGCTCCACACAATCCGCGTGATGCTTTTGTTGCGCGCAAGAGCAATCAGTATGACTTTGGCCACGTCGGGATGCACCACATTGCTGTCGATTTGTAGAGTCTCGATGCTCTTTGTGCGCGCGATCAGTCTCGCCAGTCCATGAATCGCACGCATAGACACCATATATGGCAGGTTGACGCAGAGTCGCTTTAACGCCGTCGACCTTTCCAACAACGCGCACATATTCATAAAGTCCCCGTCGTGACATTCACGGCACGCTATGGACAGTCTCTCGATGTCTTGCAGTTTCGACTCCACGATCGCATGCAGGCCGGGCGATATCAATTGCATGACATACACGTCTATGCGATGAAACGTGTCGGTCACGCCCATACAGTCGATGAACTGACGAAATATCTCGCCGTCGTACAGCTTCAACTGACGCAAGTTGTCGTTGGAGGTTAAGGCTTCGACGATGTACCGATAACCCACAGCGGTGATTTCGTTCCTTTCGACGTTCAATACTTGAAGGCGCGGATTGCTTCTCAGACAGTCCCCCAGGTACCGAGCCGAATCGTCCGTCAAGCCGCAGACATTGAGCGCGAGGTCCACCAAGATTTCGCTGCTCGCGACGACGTCTGCGATCATCCGCGTCATTTCGGTAGCCAACTCGAAGGCGGAGAGTTGGAGACTCTTCAAGGTTGCGTTTTTCGCCAGAGCACACATTAGTTTCATGTCGGTTAGGTATTTGCGCAAGCACAATACCAGCTGCAAGTTCTCCAAGACGCAGATCGGACTCTCGAGTATCTTGCATATGCTTCCGAGAACATCTGAGTTGATCGGATTGTTGTACACGAGCCGCTTGAGGTACATAGGCCTATTGGCAAGGTATCGAAACACGTCGTACGAGCCAAAATCGTTCAGTGCAAACTCGACGTGTTCTAGCGGCAGAGAAGCCAGGGCGATGCTAAAGTCATTTACGCTCGAAAACAGTACATTTGCGTTGACGAGAACGAGCTTTCGAAGATTCTCGAGAGCATGCAGCGACTTGAACAGCATGTTCTTCATAGTTATTGCGCTTTCCGTACACGTAAATTCCTTCACACCGATGCTGGCCGAAAGTCCCTCGTAAATGACTTTGTAATACGGACTATTTAAAGCATACGCCGACAGGCGCACGTACCTGATACACTTGTGCATTTTCAGGATTAGATGCAGCAATATAACGGCTTGCGTTATGTTACACTTTCCCGACAGTTTGTGACAATTACAGTGTCCTACGAGTTCCACAAGAGCAAACTCCCCGGGTTTCACTTCCTTCAGTTCCCTCTGGAGGGAAAAGAGGATGACGTTGATGGTCCACAGGTCCTTGAACATCCAGCATAATTGGTCCTTTGCCTTGACACACGACGATTGGAATTTGATGCCTTGCAATCCAAACTCTCGTGTCAGTTGACCGTAGGCTTCTATCAGCACGTTCGAGGGGTCTCGAGAGCGTAAATATTTGACAAAACCTTGACGGCGCTTGGTAACTCTCTTCATGTTGGAAATCTAGCGTCTGTAGTAGTTTGAATGTTCCTTCTTTTATACCCACAGGATGACCTCAAAAAAAAGACTTATCGTATCATCGTAGGCGACCTTGAAACACCAACGGGATGTTGCTCAATGTGACAGAGGCAGGCGTCGCGAAAGTTTTTGTGGTGGAGAGCTATGGCTCGCAAACAAGTTCTGCACGTAGTAATAAGGTCGTCTAAAGATTTTTCGAAAACGACGTCGCTCAATTTAAGTTTCGAAGACACTTCGAACCAGCAATCGTAATTCATGAACGGGCTGGCGTCGGTAGCCATGTCGGAGCTCAGACCAACGAGTCGGAAGAAATGCCGCGCAACGTATTGGCGATAACGCTTCAACAGTTCGGGTAGTCGACCATCGCCAACCACCCGAGCATAGTGCTCGGCAAAGTAGCTCGTAAAAAGGACGCTTTCCAGTTTCGCGACAGTACTGACGGGTAGGTTTGCCGTCACGCAATAGGGGTCTCTAACGAGATCTAGAGCCCTGTTGCAGCGGTAGAGATTCCTCCCGAGAACCTCCTTCATCGGAAACGACCGATAGGTGGACGCGTAGTCGAACGACAGGATGTTCTCGCCGATCGCACGAGCCACCTTTTCGTGCGCGTTGGGGTGGACGCCGATGGAGAGGTCGATAAGAGTCTTGTTTTTTCGAAATAGCTCTTCCAGAGCGTTGAGTAGATCGCTCTTCCTATCGTCTATCACGCACTCTGGCCACCGGAACACGACCACGCTTCGATTATCGGCCAAAGCCTTAAAGATCGAGGTCGCCATGCAAGTGGTGCTGCACGGCGAATCGATGTAAAATTCGCGAACGGACGTCGTTTCTTTGAGAAAATCAGCTAGGGTGATAAAGTTTGACGCGATCTCGTCGCTTGGTGGGAAATTCACGTGCAACTTTCGTAGAGATTTGGACTTGAGTAGAATCTTGCATGTGTCGTAGAGGTAGTCGTCCCAAAAAAGTTTCATGGTGCGAATGGAGTCGAGGGTCCGTCCGCCCAGTTTGGCACACGACGCCTGCGTCGGTTTCTCTACGCTCATGACGTGCAAATCGTATCCCCAAAAAGGGTCGAGCGAGTCGTAGTTGCACAGTAGCAACTCCCGTTTCCTATCACCTACGACTGGACAGTGGAATGTCAACGCTCGTAGCAATGCCGACTGAGTGGCGTGCGAAAGGTTGTTGTAGCTAAAGTCGACATTGAGTAGAGTCCTATTCGTACTCAGACCGCGGGCGATGGTCCTTACCGATGTGTCGGTCAGAGCGCATCGCGACAAAACTAACGACTCCAACTCTTCGGGGTTCGAGGCGATATAGTCCGAGAGACGCTCGACGAACGACGGAGGGAATTGTGAACCGTCGAAGTTCAGTCGTCGGAGTGTTTGGTTCTCCGTCAGGGCGTTTGCAAAGGCTACAGCGGCGGCATCCCGCCAGCGGCATTTTAGGGTCAAGTCTTTAACGACGCAACGTTTGTGTCTCAGGATCTGACATAGGCCGCTAGCGTAGTGATTGACCACACACGACTCTAGACGCAGCGTCTGCAGATGCCTCGGGTCTCGTGCGACGTCTCGTAAAAGATCTACGGGCTCGTCTCCTCTGTTTATCTGAACGAGTTCTATCCACTTTAGGGGAAGACGCGCCAGCAATGCGGCGAATTGGTTTTGGCACGGCACGTTTGTGCAGACGAGGACGAGCTTCTCCAGTCTGGTCAGGGTTCCCCAGGCGTCGAGGAGTTCGGACGGCAACTCCTGAAAGACATTTATTTCGAACGCACGCAGTCCCCGGTTGTGTTTCATGGCTCCGTAAAGCCGCTTGGTAGTCGAAGATCCGATTACGTACTGCGAAAACTCCACACAGCGTATGCACGAGTGGTAGCGTAGGAGCGAGTAGAGCAGGTTGCGGCAGTCGTAGTCCGGGCTGCGAAAGTCGTTTGTGTTTTGGACAAACACGATTCTCGAGAAGTCCCTCAGGGCGAAAGCGCCTGGCTCGTCGATCGTTTCTTTCAGCTCCATGCCGACTGTGTAAAGGATTGAATTCATCAGTGTTATTTCGTGCCAGGTCCAACAAGGTCCCTTGCCTTTCTGCGTACACGTTCGGTTCGCAAACTCCATTGTCACACGCCTGTTGGATATTTTTTTGCGAGTCGATAATCCGGTTCTTTATATGATTTCAATCTGGACTTTTGAAAGCTCCGGAAGCTCCAATGGCTTGAATGTGGAGACGGTTACCGCGCGCGCCGATCTAACTCGTTCGTCTAAGACGCGTACAATCTTGTCTTTTCTGGGTTCGTTTTCCACAATGTCTCTAAAGATGTACATGGTTTCGCTGATGGAATGGGGACTCCCTAGCTTATCCAAGGCTACGGCCAGCTGCCTGTATGTGTCGAAGGTATCGAAACTTTTTGCAGGTTTCGAAGGAGTGAGTTTGACGTTCGCAATCGTTTGGGCCATGCGCTCGGCAATGTCGTCTGTGCGGAAGCTGATGTTTGAATTCTTGTTGCCAAAGCCGTCGAGCAGTGGAACGATTCGTTCCAAGTCGGACACCCTCTTGTTCTGCCAATACGCGCAATTATTCAGGTGGTAGTTTTTGTAGAACGAGTCTAGTCGCGAGTCGCTGCCTCGTTTGTCAAACATGTGCGAAACGGTCAAGTAGCCATCGGACTCGAACGTTATATTTAATGGATAGGAATCAGAGGAGGAAGGTGATTGTATAAAAGACTTTGCGTGCGGTGACGGCTCTATAAGGTTAATCATGCCTTGTGAAGCGATTGCATCGCCATCGACGGTTACGTTCTTGTATATCCAATACTTGTAGGCTTTTAAAGATTTGTTTGTCACCTGAATGTCCTGAGGCAGTCTGGTGCATAGGTCCATCGTTTTCTTTCCGCTATCGTTTTCGTAAATCCAGTACTTTACGTTCGAGCCAAATACACCCGTCTGCGATCCGCCGTACTTGATGGGTAGAGAAGTCACCATTCGCAAGGTGCCCACATCGAGTGGCATCGTAGAAGTCCCATATTTTAATTTGAGTATAAACTTAAACCACAACTTTAGATTTTCCAAGTCGAAATGCATTACAGGTTCGTAGACGGATATCGTATCGTAGCCCCTATCTACGAAGACCGCGTGTTGGGAAGGTGCGAATGCATTATTAGCGGACCCCAAAGTAGGTTTAAAGGTTTCTCCGACCGTGTCTATCGTGCGATTCCAATCCCCGTCGCCGTCGTCAATGTGCTGCAGGACCAAGTCTTTAATCTCGTTTACCAAGGGCTCTAAGACGGGGAGGCGATATTGTTTAGAAACGGTGCATAGTCTTTCCGACAGGTTTGTTGAATCGACGGGACTCTCCAATTCGATCATGGCGTCGTACAGGTTCGCCAGAGCGTCGGTGCTTTCCTCGCACATCGCGAAAGCATCCGTCCAGAGTCTTTCCTTCAAATAGACGCGCGATCCGTGAGCGTTAAAGAAAGATACGGGGTCCATGTACAAGTTGTCTATACATCTAAATTTGTCGCGCAGAACCTTGGACGTTCTGGTCGAGAGCCACGAGTGTAGCGTTTGCTTAAACCTTTCCTTAAACTTGGCGATTTTCGCTTGATCATTGCCAATGTCTCGCGTAAAGTCGGCGGGATAGGACGACGCCGGTCCGCAGGGCCGCGAAAAGATCAAAGAGGTAAACATGTTGTAGATTGATCTGTCTACACACGCGGCTTCCAGAGCGTACCTCTTCACGCAATCGTTCTTAAAGGCCGATTGCGGATCGTTGGTCGCAGGGGTGCTCTTGCCGTAGAGCAGTTGCAAGCACAAGGCCATGCGCACCCACTTGCTGGACAAGACGCTACCGTCGGTGTCGCCCCACCAGACCAGGTTATCTCCGTACAAGGGCTCGTACACGAGGGACCGGAGCACCGACGCCGCGTTCGAGTATTTGGCCGCTACGAATAAGTTGTTGTTGTGGGACATGCGCCTCAACAGGTATATTTTAGCGGGTGTGATTACCACGTGTTCGTCTCTTTTAAAGTGAGGTAGAACCATTCCTTCCACTTTCGCGTCGCGCCGACCATAGCATAGCAAATCCTCGTCTTCGTCCTTCGGGGCCCCACCTACTTCGATCGTCTTCCACTTTGCTCTAGCCCAAGAACCGTCGGCGGGTATCCCGTTCCACAGGAATTCGCACAGATAGGTCACGAGGTTTTCGTAAATGGTCTGTAGTCGTTCGCGCTCCTTTTTGAGTTTGTATATTTGGTCCTGAAACTCTTCGACTTGGGCCGGACACGACACGTACCAACTGCGGCTCGATCGAGGCGGGGGCGAGTCGGCGTAGTCTTCTTCCTCTTCTTCTTCGTAGACCTCCCCCGACTCTCGGCCGTGAGTCGTTCGGATCTCTGCGCATTCTTCACGCTGTCGTTCAGCGTGGTAAAGACGTGGTTGGGCGTGACCGTTACGTTGAGCGGATCCTTTTCCACCAGTCTGACCTCGAGTAGTCGAGTGCTGTAGAGCCTGTCGACCGCTTCTGGGGAGAGTTCGTGGTGCGTCAGCACCGTCTCTTTCTCCCCGCGAAGGGCCGCGATCGACGTTACCCCTACCGTTATTTGAGTCTCCGCGCTCAAAGAATCGTAATCGATCAGCTCTTCGGCCCGGCTTTCGAAAGAGGACATGATCGCTGCAAAAACGTCACCGCCGTAGGCTATGCATGCGTCGATCATCTGGTCTATTACGGCGGTCGATTGGTAAAGGTCAAAGATGCGTCTAAAGTAATCCAGACTCTCTGGTTGTACGCGTTCTAAATCGAAAGACGCGGCGCGATAAACATTAGAGGTCACGTAGTCGGAGAGTATCCAAGGGCGCCCGCTCTGCTGTATCCATCGAATCGAGGCGGGTCGCGAGTTCCAAATCATGGCTATAAAAACGGGCAAATCGTGCCGCCTGCGAACTTTGAGATTACTCTGACAGTTCGATATGGCGGCAACGAGAGAGGCAACGTAGTCTGCTCTTTTGCCGAAGCGGGGTATACGAAAGAGACCCGAGACGCTTCGGTCTGCGAGCGGGTAGTCTACCTTCTTCACGAGAAAATCAGACATGCTCTCGTCGTTTGGGGACCAGTTGGTGTAGTAACCCACCTTGCAAATCAAATAGTCTAAGGTGCACAAGACCCTGTCGTCTCCGTCCAACACGTAAATGTTTGGTCGGAAGATAGCTCGATCGGGCCTCTTCTTGAGAGCGTGCAAGTCGAGCTTTAACCAAGACACATTATGAAAGCGGTAGGCCGCGATTTTATTGCCCAACACCTGGTCGTCTCTCGTCAACAGAAGCGAGCAGGGACTCGGTCCGTAGACGGTGTTGACGACGCGGTCAGAGTCTCGCACCGCCAGCAGCACGGCGTCGTTGGCTCGTTTTAGGCGGGCGCTAGAGACTACAACGTTCGAGGAAAGATTCTGGAAGAAGACGGAGGTCTGCTCCGCGTTGAGGTACTCCAAGAATTTGTGGCACGACACGGCAAAGCGAGTGTCGGTGTGCGTGCCGTCGAGCTTCTCGCCCCAAAACGGGAGGTAGAGCCGGGAAGACCTCTTTTCGTCGTAGGGCTTCCGCGCGTTCAAAACCTCGTTTATGTAACCCGCGTCGTAGGACAGCGCTGTATCCATATTTTTATCTATACATACGAGGACGGTTTCGAGATTATTTTCAAAAAGTTGTATTCGTAAGACGTCAAGAGTATTCCTCGACCGGAATTATTTATCGTAAGCCTATGGAGCAAGTAGCGCGGGTGAAATCCTTCTCCTTCTTCTTCTTTCAGCAGCTCGACCACCGCCGGAACCTTGACGTCAGCCAGATCCCTAAAGAGTCGCGTTCGCACGTTGGGCGCCAGTTTGGAAAAGCTCTCGTAGCCGATTTTTCTGTGCACCGTGACGATCTCGTTTTTCGCGGTGCGTCGCGAGGTGAGTCCGTGGCTCGAGAAAGCGTTTTCGGCTATGTATATCGAATAAAAATCGTTCCATTCCGTAACTTTGTTGTCCGTGGCTATGCTCGACGGTAGCACAGCGGTCTCGTCTATCTTGGCAAAGAGCGTGTTGAGAGCGTTGGTACAAAAGACCTCGCCTATTTTGTCCAGTGATGCCGAGTTTCCGTCGCTACCGTACGCGTAAGAAATTTTACCCAGTTTAAGATGGACGACGGTGTAGTATTCGGTCCAAAGAGGATGAATCTGCACTCCCCCGTCGGTCAGTTCGTATTTCTTGGTAACCTGTAAGAGAGCCGACGCGTCGTCCAAGACGTAGCAGTGGTGCACGATCGGGCTCCGATCAAAGCCGTTATCTGAGAGTGTAGTGTAGTCCATCAGGCCTTCTAGGAATCTAGCCATTTGAGCTATCATCACCTTGGGGACTAGACCAAAGTCGCTACCCATGCCTGCCACTAAGTCTCCGTACCTGTCATTTGCCATGAACACTTTGCGAGTAGCGACCTTAGTTGCCTTAATTAAGGCTACACTTCTTTCCAAATCTTCTCGGTCGATGGAGCCTCCATTGTTAAAGATGTTGTACAAGTGTTTCGCATTACTTATGGCGTACACGTCGTATCGTTGGACGTCATCCTTCATGCTAATGCTCTCTTGGGCAAAAATACTAACAATGATAGAATAGAAAAATTAGTTATTGATGGGATGGAAAAGTGCGGTTCTGAACTATCAGATGCTTTTAATCGTTATTTTGTGAACGTTGGGTCTAGTACCTACTGCAGTGATGCAGCACAAAATATACCTAGAGTTTGTGATACTATATTTTTTTATCCTACCGATGAATATGAAGTTTTTTCGACGATAAATAATTTACGCAACAATCACAGTTGCGATGCTGATAGTATAAACATTAAACCCGTGAAATTTGTTGTCGACCTCATTGTGCCTTGTTTAACACATATTTATAACCTTGCTCTTTCGTCGGGTGTGTTTCCCACAGGCATGAAAACAGCAAAAGTAACAGTACTGTTTAAGGCAGGAGATAGAAATAGTATGGGGAACTATCGTCCAATATCCATTCTTCCTATTTTTTCAAAAGCCTTAGAAAAGCTTATGCACTCAAGGATCACAAATTTCTCAGATCATCATAATGTATTAATAGAATCTCAGTTTGGGTTTAGAAAATTTAGGTCTACCGAGTCTGCCCTTTTGCACCAAAAAGAAATTATTTTAGATACTTTAGAAAAAAAGTTAACAACGATTGGCGTTTTCCTTGACTTTAGTAAAGCGTTTGATTGCATCAACCATGGTATACTTTTAGACAAGCTATTTTCGTATGGCTTTCGGGGAGTTTCATTTTCATTGTTAAGGTCATATTTTGAGAACCGTTGCCAATATGTTTCCATAAACGAGCATAGGTCCTCTTTGCTTAACATTAATTGCGGTGTTCCCCAGGGAAGCATTCTAGGTCCCCTTTTATTTCTTTTTTATATAAACGATATAGTTGCTATTGACTCTGATGTAGATTTTATTATTTATGCAGATGATACAAGTATGATCATTTCTGATTCAAATAGTGAACGTCTTATCAGCAAAACAAATAATGTCCTTTCAAAATTAAAAACCTGGTGCATAAACAATTCCCTTCATATAAATGCTAGCAAGAGCAAGGCTATAATATTCCAACTACATTCCAGAACTCAAGCAACCTCATCCTCTCTTCTGAAATATGGCACTGATATTATTCAATATGTTGAAAATGTAAAAACTCTTGGTGTATTTTTTTCTTATAACATGTCTTGGAACGACCATATTAGACACGTTCGCACTAAACTTTCTAGAATAGTGGGTGTGTTAAATAAATATAGAAACATTTTACCCACAAGTGTCAAAATTCAACTTTTTAAATCACTATTCTATCCCATCTTATGCTACGCGCACCTAGTGTGGGGGTCTACCGGCACAACGAACTTAAACTTGCTTCGAATATTGCAAAAAAAAGCTCTACGAGCCATAGCTAATGTCCCTTCAACCTCTCCATCCTTGCCACTGTTTGAGAAGTACTCCATACTTGACGTTTCAAAAATGTATCCACAACGATTAATATTAACATTCCAGTCTGCCATGAAAGGTAAATATGATACTTTTCTCGCTATTGCGGACCTTCATTTGCACGATTCCATTCGTCAAACACGTCAGATACATCCATGGCATATACCACAATCACGAACTAACTTTGGACGTCAAAGAATTAAACATGCACTTCCCGAGCTACTAAATCATATCGCATCATTAGGAATTGATGTTATGTCAGTGGGCAGAAATGATATCTCTTGCATTGTATAATACTTAAAACATACCTTCTATTGTTTTTTTTTTTTTTTTTTTTCTGTGTTAGTGTTGCTTGCCTTGTAGGGGTACCAAAGGGCCGGTCAAGCTGCAAATAGCAGCTTTTTTCCTTTGGTTTTCCCCCATCGTTGATGGAAATAAAGAAATGTTTCAATGTTTCAATGTTCAATGACCTTTAGGCTCAATGCCCATATCATCAGGGGGAACAAGACGCGCGAGCTAATCTCCGTTTCCAAATTTTTCCACGTGGCGGTCCAACGGTCCACGTACGTGCGGTTCGGTCTCACGAAAGGCTGTAGGGGCATACATAGACCCATTCTCGCGTTTTCCTCTTTCACCATCAAGTGTAACGGTTCGACTTTACAAGCCGTTTCGTTGAACAGCGTCAGGGTGTTCATGGCATAGAGTGTCGCGTCGTACAAGTCGTAGTTCTGGATCGCTCTATTGGCAAAGAATATGTCTCCATCGTTGTCCACGACATAATCGGAGTATAGAGCCACTGAGAGTGGAGTGCTAGTAAAGGGTAACGTTGTGGTATTATTTCCTGACTTTAACCTGTCTAGTATTCGCTTCCAGTGATCGGTGCCCGTTCTCTTAGCCGCGTGAATGGACAAAGAGTCGACGATCTGCCATACGTCTTCGTTTATGAGGTCGTCATCTCTACCCACGTTATAGGTGTACACTCTGTTGAATACGGATCCTCTCGAAATTAGCTTTAAATGCTCCACGATTTCAACTTCGTGTGTATCTGCATTGTCGTACGTTTCGTCTCGCTTACACATTGTAGCCAGCGCTGACATTATTTTTTCATATAGAGCTTCGTACGTCTTTCCATTATTAAACGTGTCTTTAGGAAATGCCAACATTTGCTTAGCCTCCTCTGTTGAATATCCATTCTCAGAATTATTGGCTACAGTCGGCTCGTATGAAACACCAAGTTTCTTTACTTTTTCGAAAAATCTCTTTAAATAATTGCATTCTACGTTCGTGTACTTGATTTTTCGTTCAGGCTGTAAAGGTATGGGAGATATCAATTTCACTCTATCTTCGGTGACTGTAGACTCTCCGTTAGTTATGAGAGGTATGGGCGAAGCGTTTTCTGGAAAGTACTGGATGGAGGTCTGTTTGGCAACCACCCCATCGGCGTCCGATGGGATATCGAACAGAGGCGAAGCCATCGCGCAATACAACGGAGACGTCAACACCATACATAATATCTCGTGAAATACCATCCATCGCTCGTCCTCGGTCTTGTCCACCGCGACTCTCGTCTTGTCCAAGTATTCCGTAGCCTTGGAACGTAGAAAGCGATTTCGCCAGAAAGACTTCACTTTCGTCCATAGGCGAGTCCTCCAGTCTGCTGGCAAATCATACTCCATCCGAAATAAACGGTCGGTCGTCGCCTCGACGTAGTGTATCAGCCCAACTAAATATTTTATGTACTCGTCTATCTCCGACGTTGGTCCTACGACAATGTTTGTGCCCGAAAGCGCGTAGATACTGGTCAGCCAAGGTTTCTCCATGTAGAAGGTGTTCCCGAGGCACCTATAGCAAAGTTCGTAGTCCGTGACAGTAACGTGCGGTGGCGGAGCGGAAAGCTTACTCGCGAGCCGCATGAGCGGTGGGGGTTTCTGGAGTTTATCAGCATTTTCAGATACATATATCTACTCTTGAACGAAGGCACGATTTCTTCTCTAGTAAACGCGAGAGTGAATCTGTCGAACGTGACGTTCTTGGCCTGATCAGTCTTTCCAAAATAATCTCTACAAAAAGCGTTCTTCACGAGGAGTCGCCGATCGCTGTTGGGAGGTAGTTTATACACGCCCCTTTCCAACAGAGCATAGTCTAGAGAACATAGTATAGTCAAAGGAGTGTTGGCCTCGTATTCTCTACACAAGTAGACGTAAGCACCACCCTTGTAATGGTAAAAGCTAAGATCAAAGACCGTCTTACAGTGACTACAGTATTGGTTCGGTAGTATGTTTTCGACTTGGACGAGCTCGCCGTCCTTACCCGAATACAGAGCCTTATCCGTGACGAAAAAGTTTAGTCTAAAACCGCCTTCCTCTAGAGCAAAGTGTGGGTAGTACGTTTTGCGTAGGCCGGAGACCAAGTCCCACCTGAGCTTGTACCTGACGTTCATGGCCATCAGGAAGGGTCGGACGTTGATATCGGTTGGTCCATAGTTTGAATAAACGGACAAGAACATCGGTAACGACATTTTTATTATCTAAATGACGCACAGGCCATACGATATTTGGCGATTCCGCCCTTGTCTATCGCGCGTTCCATCCTGTTGTCCACGTACATGGCCCCGTGATGGCGAAGATAATTGTTGGAGGAGACCTCGTCCGAAACCCCCGAGTCGAAGAAGACGTGGCATTTGCCGGTCAGGAATTCGCAGGCCGAAGTCAAAACTCGCACCCATCGCGCCGTGGCGAAAGGAAAGTTGAGGAGCTTGAAGGTCAACTTCTCTACTCTTCGCCTGTTTTCCCTTTTCTCTTTCGTGTCGCCGAGTACCAGAGAAGGGCGGTAGGTGGCCGAGTCTAGCCACGCGTCCAGCAAGTGACGGACCTCTAGATGCGACAGCAGCTTTGGAAAGTAAGCGGTGGGATCCCTTACTCTATACGAAAAAACGACTTTGTTTACGTACGTCGTGGGATCGTGAAACAATAAATGACTGTTTTCCACGACTTTCTTGATCTCCGAGTCGTAGGTGGCGAATCTGCTCCAGGCGTCGGTACTGGAGGTTCCGAAAATGTTACAGAGCATCACGTCGCTCTTTAGTGCCGCGTTATTTGGCGCGGTCTGTCGCTTGCACGTGGCCGCAACCGTCCCCGACGGCCCGTACAGGACAGAGTGGAGGACGTGGATGGACTTTGCGTCGAGAGAAACGTCCCCGACGTCCTCCATCTCTATCCTCACCCTATTCATCGGCCAGTCGCGCATCAGGCCGACCACACTTCTTGCAGGAAGCAGTCGCTCGGGTGCAAGTCGGAGACCCTCCTCTGCGCCATGTGAGCCGTCACGTTAGATATTTCGGACTCGAAGAGCGTTTGAAGCGATCTTCTCATCGAACTTCGTCGCGCCGCGGTCTTGGACTCGCAAAGGTCCATCAATTGGAGTACCTTTTCCTCACTAAAGACTGTCGACGAATTTTTTGGAAATAGATTGTTCAGGTAATGCAACCTATAATAGACGACCGAGGCCAGTGGACCTATGGAACAATCCGTTCGCGCCGCGCCCACGAACCCTACGTTAGGGACTAATATCTTACCCCAAACTCCGGGGCTTAGCAACATGCTACGGAGCCTTTGGTACGCGTGTTTAATCACCGGAACTACTACCGCCGCTTTGAAATCGTCGTCGTAGGTTCGATTCGAGAACAGCGGTACGCGATTCGAGTTGGCGTCGAGGTTCGCGGCGGTCGACTCTTTCAAAGAGCCGTCGTCGGAGTAGAGCCAGGCTCCGTCGTTACAGCACGTCTCTAGGGCAAAATCTAACCAGTCGCAGGACTCGCATGCTCGCGTGACGTACGCCGCCCTCTTCCGCATGCCCCGAGTGATAGCGAAAAAGTTGTTGCCGAACCGCGAAAGAGTGTCGTTTCCGTACGCGTAGCTCGTTCTACACGCCGTGACGAGCCGCTGTGACATACTGCAGGTAGGGACCCCGGCCAGCGTAAAGACGGCTTCCCAATCTCCCGCCGATTGGAGTTTGCCGAGCGGTTTCGTCAATAGATACGACAGAGCCAAGTCGCCGCCTTTCCTCTTTATGACCTTGACGTTTCCACCCTCCTCGGTGAAGACGTTGTTGTTGAAATCGCTCGTCACCGTCAACTTTTCGGTTATCGCTAGGCTTTGAGCAGCTTTGACTGTGACGGGGTCGGTGAACAAGAGCGAAAGCCAAAAGTCGGCGACGAGTCTGAATGCTTCTAGAATGCCGAGGAGCGGTCCGGCGGCATCTGTGGTGAAATCGTAAAACGTCGGAGCGTAGACTTTAGGCGTTTTGAAGAGCGGCGCCAGGAGCCTAAAGACTTCGTTCTGATCGAATGGATAATTTGCCACCGGGACTTCTTTACCGTTCGTCGCTTCGTTTAGAGGTGAATAGAGGCAGTACACGGTCGGTCCGTACAATAAGCAGGCGGCTTGGTGAACAATTTCCGGACACGAGTCGTCGTCGTCGTCTACCAAGGCACTCCAGAGTTGGCGTTCAGAGAAGCGGTCCCCGACCAAGATTCTCGTCACCCACAGCCCGTAGTCACGTCCTTCCTCGGGACTCGGGTAGACGCTCAGCAACTTATTGCCGACAGCCGCGGCGTAGTCGGCCAAATCGTCCAGAGTGCGAGCGCACCCCTGCTGCTTGGCGGCGACAAATTTATTCCACAGCATCGCGTTGTTGACCGCATCGTCGGGATGCCTGAACCTGGTGGCCGCGGAAGACGAGAATCTGTCCGCGTCGTCGAATCTGCGTAAGGTCCTAGTTCGGTAAAAGTAATCCAGCGAGCACAGGTACTCGCCGGTGAGAGGATTTATTAGGTAAACGTAGCCGCCCGTCCAACGCGACGGCGCCAGACCACCGCCGTCGTCGTCGGGCACCAAGGTGACCGGGTCGACGGGGGGCGGCAATCGATGCAGCAGCCTATGGTCGTCCGGGTCGTAAGGACTCTCTCGCAGGACGAATGCCAACTCTCCCAAAGTTCCTGGGCTTATGTTGGCCTCGAATGCGCTCTTGGCAGCTACGGCGGACAAGTCCCCCGCTTCGAAATCTATCAGAGGGTCTAGAGTCAATGAGACGTCCCGGGTAATTTGTACGGAATACATTTTTATTATTTGAGATCAGTAAGGTTTCCGGAAGCGAATGCTACGCCTCTTGACACCCAACTGCTCTTCCGTCAGTAGGGAGGCGCCGACGCGCGCCACAAAGTTTTCGTAGCAGTGGCCGACCCGCACCATGGAGATGGTCCTGTGACCGGGCACGTCGTTCTTGATCATGACGGCCTTGACGTACTTGTATAGGGTGCTTAGCTTGTCTATGTCGTACACGGGGCACGGATACTCGTCGGCATCCAACCCCCCGACGAGCGGGCCGTCGTAGTATCTGTCCAGGACGTTGGATATGAGCGTTCGGAACGGGTCTCGTCTGTAGACCCACATGACGGCGCCCTTGACGCACGAGACGAGGTGCATGAGCTCCACGAAATAGGGCACGACGTCCCAGCCCTTCAAGAGCCTCGGGTACTTGGACAGGTACAGCAAGACGTTTTGATCGTGTCGATGGCTGGCGTCCACGTTGTGCATGGCAATCAGCGGCAGCTCTTCGCCTCTACCGGACGCGAGTTTGTAGGTGACAAAGTAACCGTTGGACACGGGGTTCAGGTCAAAGACTGTCCACATGTTGGGAACGCCGGACCTGTCCACCGCGTATCCCGTCGTTAGTCTAGTGACGTCTTCGAAAGATTGTCCCTCGATGGCTGCCTTGCCGGCGGCTTCGCAAAACTCTTCTCTCTCTTGCGGCCGCAGGTCTTCTTTGACGTATTTGCAAAACAGCGGTATGGTGACGTGCAGCGGCGTGGTGTCTTCGAGGGTATTAGGGTCTTTGTGGACCGTGTCTAGATGGGCACGCGAACCAAGAAAGCCATCTAGGAACTTCCGAATCCACCACTTTATCCACCGGACCCAGGTAGCCGAGCGTATAAGCATTCAATACAAAATCCAAGAAATCGTACGACGACGCGGCGTGTGCGAAGGCAGCGGCACTCTTCATAACGACATCAGTCAGTGGTTTCTGTGGGGCTAGCAACTGCGCTGGCGTCTTAAAGAGATAGGAAGCTCTGAGTCCGGTGATGGTTATAGTGTTGAAGAGTAGGTTGTAGTCAAAGTTGTTTATGTGAGAGTCGACGATCTGTGCGATCGACACGCCCGTTATGGACTTCATGGCCGTCCTAAAAATCCACCTCCACATTTCGGTACACTGAACGTTCCTTTGCGGACGCGTGAGTAGAATGGACAAGGGCTCTATCGGACTAGCGAACGTTTCGAGTATGAGGTCGTCGTCCACGGCAAAAGTGAATATAGCGTTGCACGACGTCGACTCTCGCGCCAAACACACGTGGCCAGTGTAAACTTTTTCCCGGTTCGCAGATGGATCTGCAACGTCGTCGTCCTTTTCGTAGTCTAGGACGTGTTCGTTTTTGTGTTTGGACATGTCCACGTCTTTCGGAAACGTGGTTTCGACTTTATTAACGAAATAGCGTAGCCAGTCGTTGACCAATCCGTTGAATAACACTTGGGCTAGGTTACTAGCCCAAGTTGAATAACACTAGGGCTAGGACTAGGTTAGCGAACGGGTACGTCCGTGCATACGCATCCTGCTTGTCAAAGTCGTACTTGACAAAGTATGGTTCCGCATCTATGTACGCATCGGCCAAAGTGTTGTAGGCATTACCGACCGGAACGCCTTCCGTATTCATCGAGAGCATCATTCGACTGTACACCTCTCTCCCGAACAAGACACACACGGCGGTTTGCACTGCCCTGACTTCTCGCATCGCATTGGTGGCCATCCAGAGAATGTCGTGCGCTCGGCGAGACGTGTCGAGGTCGCTTAACATCTTAGCATAGTGCGGTTCGTCGTTTATCCTCTGCTTCGTATACTTTAGCTTGTCTAGCGCCTCGTCGATAACGTAGGCCAGAGCCAGACCAAAACCGTAACCCACTTCGTGTTCCCTGTAGCTGTTTAAATCGCCGTATAAAACCGTCTTTCCAGCGGCAACCGCCGCTCCGACGTCTTTGGAGTAGTATAGGTCGTCTCGCATTCTGGCCATGCCGTCTGTGCATATCCTCTGCCAATAGAGACCGTTGCATATGGCGGCACTTTTCGGTCTCACGCCAGTCGCGTTCGACACGGACCACGGGTTGCGGTTGGTCACGTCCACGGAGTTGTACAGACAGTAAAGGTAGTCTAGCGTGCATAGGTATTTGCCCGAGAGTCCGTCGATCACGTACACGTAGCCGCCACATGTCTCATCTTCGGAGGCGTGCGTGTGGTGTACGTGAAGGTTCGACGACGGCGATCGGTAATAGGGCGTCTCCAGTCTATATTGCGGGGCCAGCAACAGGTCGCCGGGGTGCGCGAAGGTCTCGTCTCGGTTGCCGACGGAGTCTTTCTTCCACACCTCCAGCGGATGTTTCCGTAGAACGAAGGCTATCTTTTTGGCATCGAACGGGTTGTGAAAATTTAACACAATCCCGTCGTGTTGAACCAAGACGATGGCATTGACGCTGTTAAATTCATCTATCACGTCCTTTACCGTTACGGTCTGGCGTTCGTATTTTAAGAGCGGTCCGATGTCGACCTTACAATCGAGTGAGGTCTGCACATGCATGGTGGTTGCCATCGTTTTTATTTCTACATTAGTACGTTTAACCGTTTATTATTGCAACATAGCCCACACATCGGAACGGTGACGGTAGCACGTGCGAATCGCCAAAAAGAACAAGGCGTAAACTACCGCCACGACGCAGAGCGATGACAGCGTGCTGAACAAACTCCACACGGTCTGTCGTTGGGAAAATTCTTGCACGAAGCGTCCGGTGTAGCTTCCGAGAAAGGTCATGGGCTGCATCACCGTCTTCCCGATCAGATCGCTCAGCACTAGGAGGGGGTTGACGTGCCACATGGCGCCAATGTGGAGGTTCTGGTAGAAGCGTTCGCACAGATCGTCGTCGTACATATATCGCTTTAGGACATACCACGGCTCGTTTCCGACCACGAGGCATTTTTCGGGAATGCCTTCCGGATACTTGATATTGAAAGTGTCAATCTCGACCTGCTTCAGTTGTATCAGGTAGATCCAATGCCATACGAAACTCGTGACCAGGAAACAGCACACAAAGAGGCAGAGTTTGCACCTCCAAGAGGTGCCATAGCCGACCATGATCACCGAAGTCATGGCAAAGAACACGAGGGCCACTACGTTACACGGAAGCAATCCACATTGTGCAAATATGTAAAACATCGCGTCGCGTTTTTAATACCGCCGTCGCCGTTTGTTTTTAGTTTAAGAACCCTCCAATTACCGTTAGCGGGAAATACTAGGACCGTATAAACGATGTTCGCATTGGCAATTGTGGTGACGTTGATCACAACGAACGTGGTGCAGTGTTCGGAAAACGCTAGACTCTACGAGGAGAACTGGTGCATGAGCATGACCGAATGCTCGGTCAAGACCAAAAATCCATACGAGAGCTTGGAATCCACCAATATTAATCTCGGCCAATACAGAAGCATAGTGGCCGCCGCCAAAAAGAAGGTCCACGAACGAGACAAGATTGCCGACTGCAACAACTCTACGAGCGTGATGGTCTCTTACGAGGAGATACTCGACCTAATGATGTACGCCACGGTAGACTATTGGGGCAACGTTAAAAAAAAATTCGACAACACGCATCTGTGCGCCTATCCAGACTTTACTCTCAAAGTGCAGTGCAATATCAGGGAGAGCGTGTACGACGTTCCGCGCGGCTACGTCTTTCAAAAGCCGTACGTGTTTCAGACGTGCGAGCCACCGCACATTAGATATCCGTGTAAAGGCAACGACGCGTCCGTCTACACCCCAGAGCTCGTGAAGTGTCCCTTAATCAACGGGACGACTGTCCAGGTGGGGAGCCGAGTGAGAGTGACGTGCAGTAACGGCAAAAACGCCACGTTTCTGTGCGGTCACGACTACAAGTATCATCCGGTAGAGGATCTGGATAGCGCCGAGAAGGCTCTCAAACGCCTAAAAATCGACGCACTATGCGACGAGAAGGACGACGACGACAGCAACGACGACTCGCATAAAAACAACGAATGGCTCACGATAATTTGCATCTTTATTCTTTTGATCACCACAATCACGCCAGTGTATCTTTGCGTAAAGATAATTTTTGATACTTAAAATGAAAAACCCATACCGTCCTTTTTTTTTTTCGCCTGGGAAAACAACGGAACAACGATCAAGGCCACGCACCCTCGTTTTTGTGGGGAGGCACTTCACGTGTCCTCTAGGCGACTCCTTATCGCGATATCTATATGTAAGCTTATCTCGATGTCACTGCCCATTCGACCTTGATACAACCGTCTAAAGGTCACGTCGGATGGAGGTATATTAAGGACCGTTTCTCGCGACTACGGTATATTGCGACCAGCACTCTAAGGACAAGATGACTATCGGGCACCTTTGCGACCCAGATCTCGTCTTTACTAGGAACGTCAAGGCGGTCCCAAAGACGTCTTGCGCCCTAGATGCCGATCACGCCTGTCTCCCCGCAGGGGGCACCTGTGAAAGCAGGTGTTTGGAGAGTGGCATCTCCACGGACCCCGAGCCATGCGGGTTCGCCCGCCCACGTATGGCTGTGCGTGGCTTTCCCGTGTCTGGGGAAAAGGGCATCCTGGTGGTTGAGCCGAGCCCGGGGTAGGTTTGGACCCTTCGGGGCCCCCCGGGCGAGGCAATACACCACTTCGGCCCCCGCTTCTCATAGACGGGAGTCCTGGTAAGGCCCGGCCAGGATGATTCAGCCTAGTCGCCACTTCTATTCCCTTGTTGGGCTCGGTGGTGGGCGGTGCACCACAGTTTCCGAAAACCATTCCCCTCTTATGGGTTCTAAGCAAAAACAACCTGATCGGCCTCCGAAAAGAGGCCGGACCGAAGCACTATCCACATTTCTGAAACGAGACAACTCAAATGATCACTTCACAAGATTTTTCGTTCTACATTCCGATGACTCTTCTATGCCACTTTCAAGACTGTCTCCATTCCTTGTTGCCAAAGTTCTTCAAAACACACTCGGGGCAAAATATGAAGCAAAA